GTGGCTGAATGTACAGTGTGTGATGGTGGGATTAAGGGTGTATGACTACTAAATCAGTCCACTGATTGGTTTCTTACAATACTAATTCCAGTAGCCTAGACAGAGTATAAGACAGAAAGACACTGTTAAAGTCCCTTGTTGCTTTGCTATCTTTGATTCTCCATGAATTGTTGCCCCTTTGCCACCCTGCCTTGGACCCAGCTGATTATGGACTGAAACCTCTACAAACTGTGAGCTCAATAAACTTTTCCCTCTTTAACTTTGGGTGGTAGGTTTTTGTCTCAGCAATGAGAAAAAAGTAGCTAAGATAGACACCTTCCCCCAAATTTCTAAATAAATCTCACTGGCCTCTTATAACTGTAAGGAAGCTGGGAGAAAATGATTTTGTTGCCCATCATGATCCTGCTACAATTAAAATAGGAGATCTGTTTTTTTTTTTAGGAACAGAAAGGACTGAATAGACACCTACAGGTTTTGCCAGGCTATTTAACTGGTGTTGGCCAAGGCTGGAATTTCTGCTTTAAGTATTGTAATGAATACATTCTCCCTTCTCTTTTCTATGGAAATCATATCCATCTTTGCAGTCCAACTGAAGCCCTAGCTCTCCCTTCCCAAACCACATCAATTCTTAGGGTGATGTGTGTGTAAGGCATTTTACACACAACCACTCACAACCATTAGGGTTGTGATAGGTCATTTTGAAGTTTATTATTTCTTTATTTTGTATGGTTGTTTAACTGAGTTACTACTAACATTTCTATGTGACCAGTTACTATTACTAAACTTCATTGTACACATAAGTGTTTCAGTAAACATCAATGAAAGGTGAGTGATAGGAGTACTTTATATTATTTCTTAGTGATGAATATACATCTGTATATTCAAAATACTAGAGTTACTTTAGGAAAAAATGTTTTTTCAGATTGTAATCTTTTTCACAGTCCCTTCAATGGACTTAAATCATGATTAGCTCTCTTTGCAACAACTGGCATTTTCCCAGGGTGCCCATGTGGCTGTAGGATTAGTGCAAATATTAATCAACATGTTTTTAAAAAGTAGTTCCATGGGTAATAACATTTAGTTCCTCATGTCGACATATTCACTTCATTTTTAATATACCCTAGTGCACGGTAGAGGAGTATTAGTGCTCCCTCAGATGATAATTCTTTTTCACTGTGGCATGGCTTCTTGGTGCCCTGAATGGAGGATTGTGAAGAACCTCAGTGCCTGGGGAGGAATGTCGTGACTGAGTAATTACTTGTGTCCATGTTGTGAAAGGCAGGAGAGAAAACAGCCACGAGCACTGCACACCTGGGGCCCAGAACAGCTTGTGCACTGATTACAAGTGACAGGTTGCTGAAAAAGAGCACACATTCTGAATTATTGACTTAACAAGAATCGATCACATTTGTCATACCAGCATGCCTGTCTGAAACAAGAAACAAGATGCAGAACCATTTTATTTTTGTCAATAACCTATAGTAATAATTTTGTCAATAACCTACAGTAATAATTTAGCCATATGAAACAGCTGCCTTTCTTTTCTGATAGTATAAAGATATGTACAAATATGAAAGTGATGAAATGGAAGAGGTTAACATTATTAACCCTAGAACACTGAAATGGAATTTCATTTAATTAAATATATTCAATTACTCAATTTACTCATTAATTCTCATAGCATTCAATAGGATAGTTGTTATATCTACTATACAGATGACAAAAATGAATGTCTGAGAATTTGAATAATTGCCAACACATGAAAGACTTAGTCAAAATCAGGACTGCAGTTTAATAACTCCCAAGTTTAATTCATTTCTTATAGTTCTCTAAATGTCACTTTGGAAATCCTGTCATTTATTCCATTATTCACAACAGATGATCTGGCTGCAGGAATCCCATGGTATTGCCTACAATGCATCCAGATAATCATCAGTGTAAAATACTGATGAAGGAGATTTTCAGAATTAATATGTCTCCTAATATCTGTGTGTACTGCTCAGGGCTGTTTGTGAGTGTGAACAAAACCTATCAAGAAGTTCTTAAAAAGTGACTATTTAGCAACCTTGTCCTTTAGTTTTCATAAATTTAAATATTTCATGCATGGTTCACCAACATTGTGGGTAATACTAATCACATATGAGTATGTAACTGACTTCAGTTTCTGAAATGAAAAACTCTGCCTGTGTGCTTTCATGTCAATATCTCAAATAGATGTGGGAAAAATAAAACTCACAGAAGGCAGCCTGAGAGAAAAAATGAGTAAAGAAAGAAAAAAATAATAATATAGGTATCACAAAGATTTAAAAAACCAAAATACTTTGTAGCTATTTCTTAGTTTTGTAAACCTATATTCATATTACAAATACAGATGTGTGTAGGCACATGCAGGGACATACACATACACACACAACATTCTTCATTTGCCATCTCCAAGTGAGTGGTGGTAACTTTATTACTGACAGTATTCATTATACTTTAAAGTCAATGAGAAATCTTTGCATTTAGGAATAAGTTTTACAAAATTAGAACCAAAGAATTTGTATTTTGATACTATTCCCCGCCGTATTTTTCTCTACAGCTCAAAGTGCATTCTTGAAGACTAAGACACTATCTTATTCATATTTAAATACTCAATTCTTAGAAAGTTCCTTCTAGAACATAAAGGAATAGGAATAAATGGATGATTACGATGCTTATATCAAACTTTTTAATATAGAAAGTCTGCCAAAAAAATGTATACAGATTTCAGGAAAAAATTAGTATGAAGTTTTTTCAACAGATGGTATTAGCTTCGTATGGGGGACCTTAGAGGATGTTGTATATCGCAGAAAATCCACTACCCTGCTGGCCCTTAGAGAAGAAACTGAAGATGCATGTGCAGCAATCTCAGTGACCAAGGTTACCCAAGCAGCATTTGCCAGGCCAATAATGTCTGGAAGCCAATGGCTACCACTTTGAGCACCTTTTGTAATTGTAGAGACCAAAGATAACTTGTCTTAATCTCATGAGGTCCCAATAAATTTAGTATTAAAATATTTATACAAGTTTTTCTTTTCCTGGAGTGTGTACACATACATTTGTGCATTTTAAGTGAAAGGAAGATAATTTAATATTTGTATTAACTTTTCTATATGTGTTTGATAGTCATTTTCTCTTCACTAGATTATGCGGGTCAATACAGCTATTTCAAAATCATTTTTACTTTTGAATTTTCACAAATTTGTACATCATGCATTTTATAAGATTAATATTTATAATACTATAGTATTCATAGTATACTCTAAAACTGTGCCAACCATTTTTACTTCTTTTTGCACCTTCATCTAACATTACAATATGAGCTAAACCTTGAAAACATTATGCTAAAGCAAATTTTGTATGATTCCACTAAATGAGAGTCATAACCTAGTCAAACGCATAGAGACAGAAACCAGAATGCTCTTTGTCAAGGGCCGAGGGAGAGGTTGACAAGTTCTGGAAAAAGACTGTGGTGATGTTTGTACAACAACGAAATGCACTTCATGCAACTCAACTGTACACTTGAAATCACTGAAATGCTAAGTTATTGCCAGTGACCCTAGTATTGATTATGCCCAAAGCAGGCTGTGAGCAGTGTGGGATAGTTAGCCCCACAATAGCCTTGATTAAAGAAGCGAGTCTGGCCAAAGCCTACATGCCAAGGTCAGAGTAACTTGCATCTGAATTCTATTTGCACAACTAAAACCTCCTTCACTAGAAGGACAATGTTCTAGTCCTATATTTTGTCTCTTCTGTTCTGAATTCGTGGGCCCTTTGTCTTTTTCTTTGACAAGCCTTGTCTTCATTTCCATAGTAACTACACGACTGCATGTCCTCACACACAGCTTGCATGTAGCTCACCTTTACCCCAATTTATTACCAATAAAAATCAGTGGCTTGGACTGACCAGTGCCTTTGCTGGTTGCCCCAGCATGGGTCATCCTAGCTCCTCAGTTTCTCTGTCTCTTTAGTTCTGTCTTTCAGTTTTTTGGGGTTTTTTTCTCAGCCTTGAGCCATAGTACCGAGCAAGAGACTGAAACTTACTGCAGAGGTTTCCAGTAAGTTATACCACAATTAAAAGAAAACAACAAAAACACACAAAAATAATGAAAGAAAGGCAATGAGCCCTTCAGAAGCATCACCTGAGAATGTAAGCTACCAGAGAATGAAAGTGTTACGAGCTAAAAATTAAAAATTTAAATATGCTTGAGCTATAACTTGTCTCCAAGAACATCAACATTAATTCCTCCATTCTTGTGACATTTTCCCATTGAGACAGAGTCTGCTTTCTTTCCCTCTTTGAGTCTGAGGCTTTGCTTGACCACTGGAATGAGTTTTGTGTGACATCCTAGAAGACCTGAGGCTAAGTCCAAATAACTCGTGCTGGTTTACATGAAGCTCTAGGAATGCTACCTCTTAGAACACCAACTTTAGTACAAACCAGCGCTACATATGATGGCTAACTACTACCTTGTTGTCTGTAGCTGCCATGTTATGTAAAATTCAAGTCTCGTAGAGTACACCTGGAAGATTAGTTGCCATGTCAGGCAGTATAGTCTTTTTCTAGTGCAATGAAGTCGATAAAATTAGTCACTAAACTGGTATTTCTTAAGTTAACTAGTTAAAAAGGTCATTTTAGCCTCATCTATACAATCAATATTTTTTGGAAAAAGAAAGAAACAATAGTGACAAAGGTAGTTCACCGTCTGACCATTTTCATTCTGATCATGCTTCTATTATCGGAAACTTTTCTAAGTGATGTGCTATAGTTTTCAGTATGGAGTAAACTGGATGAGAGGACCACTGTTTAGCGATTTGTACAGAAAAGTTGAAGGAAATGTTTTGGCAATCCTAAATCTATTCTAGTGCGTGAAAGGAACATTTCTTCTTGGCCTCAGTGTCAATGTGTTACTCTACTCACAGGGAGGATATCTGAGCTCAGCTGGCTTCATTACAGCCGGCAGATTAGATAAACTTACCACAGAGAGCTTCGTCGGATCTATCGGAGCAGTCGGGCTTGTAGTCACAAACAAGGTAGGACGCAATACATTTTTTGTTCCGGCACAAAAAGTCAGTGGCTTCTGAGCAAATCTTAGAAGTTTCTCCAACTAAGGAAAAAGCAAAACAAGGAGTATTTAGTTAATAGTTTCATTACACTTGAAGACTCTTGTTGTTTTAGGGATTCCACGCTATTTAATAATGCCATGATTTTAACACTTGGGCACAGTATCCTTGTTGTTGAGCAAATTATACAGAACTTACTTTTGAAATACATTTTGACCACTCAAATGCTGACCTTTATCTGTTACATAAGCCCAAACTCCTCATGAAGGCAGTAAAGATCCTTTCTTGTTGGTCCCCACTTACTTTTCCAGTTCCATGTTCTGTGCTCTTCCCAGCATCATCTACATTTAAATTATATCCTATGGCTGAAGGTTTCAAATATATTCCATTCTCTCATTTTTTTTGTCATATATTTACCCATGCTACTTCCTCTGCCTGCACTGGGTAGTCTGCCGCTCAACTTCAGACTCCAAAGAACAACTGTTCTTTCTATCCTCCTCTTCCTTTCTCTTTGTCACCTTTGCTCCAGGTCTGATATGCTCAGTTTCATGTCACCTAAGAATCTTCTGATTCCTGCATTAGAGCTTTCAGCTCACTAAGACTGTTTACATATCTTTCTGTCCCTCTCTACTTCAAAATCTACAGAAGCAGAAGTTGGCATGGTGCTCTCTTAACACCTAATATATAGGATG